GAATGAGTGAACTAAATGAGTCTGGTCACTATCAGCAGGGTTGCACTCAAACGGAGAATGAATTCCCTGACTTTTCCAGGTGTTTTCAAGAAACCAGTCTATCGCGTAATGTACGTTGTGTGCTAAGAGGTAATTAATTTGGTATTACTTGTATTAGTAGCACACTAATTATCAAATCAGGAGGACATTTATTCTTTCTGGTATACTTTGATAATTTGTTTAGTTTCCACTTAAGAACTTATAAATTAAGATATATATATGGATAACAAATGTATGTTTTATTTAATTACTCATGATCATCCCGTTTTCACGAGGTAATCCTCATAAATCACAACGCATGCTAAATAGTTAGGTTAGATTTTAGGTAAATTAATTTGGTGGTATGTTCTTAAAAGGCACTTAACACTGAAAACACAAATATAATTATAATAGTTGTTGTTTTCTCCACTGAAGATGAGATTAGAATCTCAATCTGGAATAAAATAAGGTTTTTTTGCAGACATTCTGCATCTAAAGAAAGAAAATCTATTTAATAAATTGAGGTATTTTATCTTATTTTCGCATACCTAAGGAAAAAATATGTGCATTAAATTTCGTGATGGTATTATCATATGCTATAATTAATTTCAGGATTATGCCAGAGAAAATTCCTGAAATTTGGAAATATTATTTATAATAATAAATTTTAGAGGGAAGACAAAATTAAATTATATGAATAACATAAAAAATAATTTAATTTTAAGAAACATTTTTACATACAGTTATAGTTACATGACTTACTATTTTTTATTTTACTGCAAATGCAAGGTATTTATTAAAAAGAAAAAAAAAAAAAAAAAAAGGTTAAAAAGATTTTGCGTAAAATTCTATACAGTCAAAAGTCGTTAATTCGGACACCCATAATCCGGAATGATCTATAATCCGGACCTCAAAGCTAAAAACTTTCTGCGCATGCGCCGCGTTGGCACATGTGCACAGGCGTTTTACGCGTGCGCGTAAGACCTTGACTACTGCGCATATGCGTGTGCGCAAGCGCAGAATACGTTTTCGCCTGCGCGTTTAATGTATAACGGACGGTGTAAGCTAAAATTATCTAATTATCTATTTCAGTTAATGTTGATGATTGCGTTGTTCCTTAATCTTCGAATTGGATCCGGCTTATTATTTTTTGCAGACTGTAAGAGCAATTTTATAAAAGTAAACTTGAACTTTCGATTATGTCAAATAGAATTTCCGATGCTGGAACTTCCAAAGGATCTACAAAACGAAAGTATGTTTTGATGTCCAACAAACAAAAAGTGGAATTGCTGAAAAAAATGGATAAAGACATGAAGAATGTGACAGAGAGGTTAGTGAAAACGAAAAAATTTCGATTGACAAGTTAGTCGGTATTCTCGGCACAGCAATTAACGGGACTTGAACAGCGGAACTTTTAACTGAAAAGAAATTATGTCTGTTTATAGAATTAAAGAGAAAGAAAGTATTATCACATAAAATGAAGCAACTTAAACAACTTACATTGAAAGAAATGTTTAATAAAGTAAACAAATAAATATTAAGCTTTTTTTTTTTTTTTGTAAATTTTGATACCCTTTAGATCATAATTGTTCTTTATTTCATAAATTACGGTTTCATATTTTTTAATTTTAGAATTTCTGCATGCCATCTTACGAGATTTAAACTGATGATCTATAATCCGGAAAAATCGATAATCCGGAATCGCCGAAGTCCCGACGAGTCCGATTAAAGACTTTTGCGTATACGTAAGGCTTTTTGAAAATTGTCGCCAAGACCAATGATTTTGCGCATCAATGTCGCCAAATCCCATTATTATTCTACAAAGACGTCTATGTAAGAAGAAAAGGTTCCATACAAGTAAAATGCTATTACGCGCTAGAATGCGGAGGAAAATTTGCCAAGGGATTTGGCGACGAAACCTGCGGTCAGAATTTCCCTCTTCGCGATGTGTACAGGAAATTGAGAAAAACGTAAGAAGAAACGCTCTTTGACAAAAAGAAAAACTACGAAAATCCGTTTTAAATTATTGCGAAAAATCCAAGAAGAACGTTTCATCAAAGGACGTTTCTTCTTGGATTTTCGCAATAATTTTCAAACGGATTTTTTAGTAGTTTTTTTTTTTTTTTTCTCTGAAAATAAATATCCATGAATTAATTTACTTGCGCCAAAAAATATTTTCTTTTCCTTTAGAGTTTAACCACTTGCGCTAAGACTAAACTTCACGGTTGCGGTGCCGTGCGCTACAATATAACAAGCGGTAAAGTGTCTCATTTACGCCGCTCCGCATCTGCGAGTGCAATCCAGAGCTGTAACTCAAGAGATAAACAATCTCGTTGTTAGGCGACGTGTGCACCACGTTATTTTCATTTTTGCGATAAATGCTTATCGACGTGGTGTTGACGTCGCTCGTGGTTTGAGACAAAAGCATCTTGACGTGCGTGGCACGTCTTTTTAGCGCAAGTGGTTAAAGAATTTTAAACGATATTCATTTTATGAATTCTTGATAACGTGACCTTCGAACTTTGACACCGTTTTCGAGCTTTGCCGTACAGATATATCAGCGCATGCACAACTGTTTCCCTCTATGGTGGAACGGAGCCACGCCACGTCTGTTGCAGAGGGTTTCCTTTCTTTACGAATACATATTCTTTTGGTTCTAACCTTCATGTTCAGTATACGGTACCCAGTAATGCAGTAATGGTACCGTATACTGGGATTAAACCCTTTTTGTTTTATACGACAACAGGTACTTTCTTTAGTTCATGCACTGCACATGCAATTCTCAGAGAATTACTGGAAACCAAAAGTTGCGGGGAAAGTTGCTTTGCCTTTCTAAAAGACAATCAAATTGGAGATGCGAAAATAACTGGCTCTATGCCAGCTGCCCGAATGACACTCACATGATACACAATTCGCCCAAAAAAAGTTATCTCTTCTGACGTCGGCGCAAAAATCGCTTTTTTTTGGCGTAATCGTTGTATGAACTTCCCTGACTTTTCCAGATTTTGACAAAAATACTGAAATTCCCTGACTTTTCCCTGAATATTTTGGTCAATTTTCGAATTCCCTGACTTTTCCCGGTTCTCCCGGTTTTCCAGGTAGCGTGGCAACCCTGTCAGAAGCAATATTTATATTCTCTATTTGGTTCTATCTATTTTCTGGCACTATGAAGAATGGACTCATTATCTATGAGAACCTGGTAGAACTCTTACCTCAAAAATCTGTGCAAAATTCAAGGTTTGGTCTTCATGCAGTTTTTCCTATTTTAGATTTGAAAGCTGCTATTTATTACTTTATATGACAATGGCAAAATTTATATATCATTTTATGATACAGGAGGAAGATTTTTTGAAGGAGAAAAAAAAAAAAAAAAAAAAAAAAAAAAAAAAAAAAAAAACAACTAATGAAAAGGTTGCCATGTTTTCTAAGCTAAACAGTACTTAACTTTAAGCATTAAAATAGCAAATTTGAAATTGTGCCAGCACAGCCTCACTAGAATTAAAAAAAAAATTGTATGCAGAGAAAATTTGTGTTTAAGCTTCATCAACCCAATCTTCATCAATTCACAGCCTCACTAGAATTAACAAATTCTAGTGAGGCTGTGCTGGCTTGGATTGATGAAGCTTAAACACAAATTTTCTCTGCATACAATTTTTTCCTCATCTGAAATAGATCACCCTACCTTTTAATCCAAATAACATTTTGTTTAATATATATAATCAGTATTTTATTTAATATTAAATAATGTTTTGTTCAATATATATAGAAGAAAATATTATATATATATATATATATAGTGTGTATTTCTGTTAGAGATGTTTTACCTTATACTCACGAAATTCTGAATAGGCAGCAGATAAAGTGATTAAGGTAAAGCCACTTGAGGGCTAGTTTGCCTATGAGGAGGCATGCCTGCATTAAGGACTCTTTAAGGAAGATTGTCTCATATCCTCATGAATAGGCAGCAGAAAAGATGGGTGTCATTTGGCTTAAACTTCCTTTCGGAATTAAATAATGCCTATATGAATCCACAGATTTTTATAGTAATGATTCAACTTATCAACTCTTTTTTAATATTATATTTTTTATTCTCCCAAACCAATCTTACAGTGCTGTGAGAGTATTAATCAGTTCATATTAAAAAGCATCAAATTTCAATTTGCCTTTTAAAGCCTTCAGAGAATTACCATACTGCACTAATAATTTTTTATTACACTTTGTGTGATCAAGTTAGAAACCAAAATTTATCAGTTAGCGATTTTTTTAATGAGCACGATTAGTTTAGGTATGGGAAAAACTAGTAATCACAGTAGATAAAATTCTAATATATGCATCAAGTTGTGCCTAATATTACTTAATGCAGTGAATGTGAAGCATTTTATACCTTTGGAAAAAAGTGAAACATTTTTTAAAAGCATTGCACTAGCTTAATTGTTTCTAACATTCTAACAGTATATCTGAAACTTCTCTTTCATTTTTTATGCTTCCAATTAGAAAATTTTAACAGATGCTTTATAGGCTGAATACTTTAATTTCTCAAGAGAAAAGGATACTAATTTTAATCATTAAAATATAATTGAAACCTGTTATTATGAAACTACTTACTTTTCTTTTGCAACATACATCATACATATTTTAACAATTAAGTCTGTAAGGAATACACCCTAAATCCATATTTTCACTGACATAAAGCTCTTAACAAATCATTTACAGGGAAAACTCTTTTAAATGATAAAATAAAAGTCATACAAGACTAATAATTTTTAATTACCATCCATTTCTTTAGAAAAAAAAAAAAAAAAATATGAAGCTCAATTTTACTCTCCATGTGGCATATTTTTAAAAAGAAAATGTGTTATGTTTAAAAAGGAATATTCATAAGATCAGTTTTAAAATAAGTCTCCAGCTCTTAAGTGCTTAAAGAGGAAAACATACAACAAAACTGAAATAATTTTTTCAAGTATTTAAAAAATACAACATACTGCTAGTGTCTGGATTATTATTTGATTGGGTGAAAGAGTCGTTGTGAGAGGCAAAGGCTGTTGTGCAGGAGTAGTTAGAAGAAAAGTCTGTGGATTTGTTGCAAGTTGAATGTTTTGTGGAAGTACTTCAAGTGTTTGAAGGACTGGTCCAACTGGCACTTGAGAAAGAGCAGCAGTTGAATTAACCATATCTACACATTGTGCATTGGTCAATGAAACTACAGGAGGAGGACAGGCTGTAATGATTAAAAACATAACACTAAAGATTTAAAACAAAAACTGGGAAAAAATGTAAAATTAAAATTTTGTAGCACTATTATAAAAGAATATCACAAATTTTTTACTCCTAACTCAATTCAATTATGCTACAAAGTTACATTATAAAATGCATTAAATTATCAGTAAAACTTTATAGTTAGGTTAAAATACTTACATTAAAAACAGTAACTATTATAGAAATTAAGAGGAAGAATATGATATATGATAAATGCAAATAAGAATTTTTTCTTATGGTTCTCAGAAACATAAAGCTTTAACCATTATAAAAAATATCAGATAAAGAGAGCTAACTTATGTATTACAAAAAATGCAAAAGCAAACATTGCATGCTATTTCAGAAATGGTTTCTACATATATTTCAGAATTTTTTTACAAATTCACGTGGCACTGCTGAAGATAGTTTTTTACAATTAATGACACTTAAATATTTTGAATAACCATAAACAAAATACATTTTATGCTATAGAAATACACACCTCTTTCTTAATTAGTCAAAAGTCTTTAATCCGGACGTCCATAATCCGGACCTAAAAGCTACAAACATTCTACGCATGCGCATAATACGTTTATGCATGTGCGCTTAATTTATAACGGAAGGTATAAGCTAAGCTCAAATTATTTAATTATTTATTTCAGTTAATGTTGCAGATTCCGTTGTTCCTAAATTTGCTAATCCGGCTTATTATTTTTTGCAGACTGTTAGAGCAATTTTATAAAAGTAAGCATGAACTTTCGATTATGCCAAAAAGAATTTCCGATTCTGGCGCTACCAAAATATCTACAAAGCGAAAGCATATTTTGATGTCCATCAAACAAAAAGTGGAATTGCTGAAAAAAATGGATAAAGGCATATCCTTTGATTCTCTAACCATTCCGAAATATGTTTATCAATTTCACGCTGCTGTGTGTGTGTGCGGGGAGTGACGACGCGCACAATGAACTGGAAGTTGATCTGTCAGCACTATCCTTATCTTCAGGGCAGATGTTTTTATTTTATTCGGCTTATAATTCCTTACTAAATGTAGTATTTCATCTCGATGTACTCTGATATGATTTAAATCAAATTCCTCGTCATTATAAATATCACGAATACACATCAAATAGTTTTCTGGTTGCAATTTTCTAATTTCGACTATGCGTAATATACGCTTTATGTATGGGCACGTCGAAAGAAATGTTTAATAAAGTAAACAAATAAATATTAAGCTTTTTTTTTTTTTTTTGTAAATTTTGATGCCCTTTAGATCATAATTGCTCTTTATTTCATAAATTACGGTTTCATATTTTTAATTTTATAATTTCCGTATACCATCTTACCAGATTTGATGATTAATCTTGCAAAACCGATAATCCGGAATCGCCAAAGTCCTGAGGAGTCTGGATTAAAGACTTTTGACTGTATAACAATAAATGGGAGATTTTAAAAACCAATTTAATAAGGAGGCACATTAATTTAATAAAGGCACAATCACACACAATCATTTATAAATATTTTTCATATATAGGTAAAGACTGTGCACAGTTAGCCAATATTTAGTGTGTTCAATTTCCACCTTATTTGGCATAATCTCTTCAAGGAAAGCGAATCATCAGGTTTAAGATTACTGCTCTCTTAGAGGCTTAGGTTTGTGTATGCAGAAAATCCAAACCATTTTCATGGGTGGAAATTTATTATATTGAAAATGTTCCGAATTTTCCACATGAACATTTTGATCTCTACATGATGCCCCACTGATATCCAGAGGGTTTACTAGTCATCATACAGCCTTAATATTAATACTAAAAAATATGGCATTGCATTTACACAGCAATATGTAACATGGTATGCTTACTAGCTTTTATCTTTATTTAATAAATAAAGCATAAATTTTCTCTCATTATATATATATATATAGAGAGAGAGAGAGATATAGATATAGATATGTATGTAATAAGATGACTAGAAGAAAGAAAGTCGCAACAGATTGATAATGGTCCTCTGCATGATAATTTGAAGAAACTTTACTGTGTAGTCAGAAAGATGACTTAGCGGTAAATTCCACATATAATTTTATTCCATGGTAATGCACATCATCACTATGGGTGCACTGTGCATCATACAATTTTATACAGTTTATATTTTTTAAGCAGTTGACGAAATTGTAAAAGTAAACTCTGCATGGCTAGTGGCCAAAGCAAAGTAGCGAAATGAAGCAAGAGAGGAGAAGAAGCTGCGACGCAATTAACCTTTTATACCGAATTCCATTTCAAATCACATGACAGATGTTCGGTTCAGACTTAATCGATAAGTGTGCATGAGCACTGCAGGGAGTTTTAGTTAGAAAATTATCTCTCTGTTATTTTCAGAATGAAGACAGGAGGCTATTATTTATTTATTATTTGAAAGACAAATTAGATATTTTATATTTTACGTATCTATATACACGCAGTCATAATGTTTTGTGTGTTTCAACTAGAGTTTGAGCAGTTATTATTAATGATTTAATTTTTTTTAATTTAAAATATTTTATTTAAAAATATTTTTAAAAAAATTTTCAGAATTAATGCAATGTCCTGAGCAACTAAAATCATTATTCTATTAGTTTTACGTTTCGATTGTCTTACAAATATAGCACTGCAACAAATGATGCAAATATAAGGCTTACTGGAAAATTCCATCTGTATTTGAAGTGAAAGGAAATGCATTTTTCATACCTTTAATAATATTTATTGTGCTATATAATTTCCATTGTTACTCATAATTTCTTGCCAGCATGATACTAATTTGTAAGAAAAATTTTAGAAAAATATCTCATCTAGTAGAACTCTAGTAGTGCGTGGCTGACATTTGCTTAAGTTTTCTCCCCTTAAAAAAATTTGCAAGGAGAAGAATAAATGATAATGGGAGGTTGCTAGGTCTAAGGACTATGGCAGACATGACAGAATTTTCCAGGTCACCTTTACGATTTTCTGATGAGTTGCCAAAACAGCATGTGATCTGGCATTATAATGATGCAGTATGATGTGCTTCTTATTGAACATCTTTGGCCTCTTTTCTTTGACTGGTTTGTTTAACTCATCCATTTTATGATAGTATCTCACTAAATTGAACTTTTCATTATGTTCATAATGTATTGGACTTCGCACATCCCATCATATGTACAGCACTTTCTTATTCAGAATCAAGCTCAGTTTAAAGGCGGTGAGGGTAGATTATCCTGATTCATAGTAGGCTTTTTTCCTAAAGATGTTTTCATAGATAATCCACTTTTTATCACCAGTTATCATCTGGTCCAGGAAGAGTTCATTTTTCCTCCAAGTAAGCAGAGCTGGAGACATGATGACTCAATCATGCAAATTTTTCTCACTCAAGTCACGAGGCACCTAACTGGAATAAATCCTAAGACAATCCTAGATTCCAAATATGGTCCAAATTGTTTTGTAGAGTTAAGCTTTTTCACAATCTCCGATGTTGACAAAAAAGGATCTTGCTGTGTCGTAGTCTTGACAATATTGTCAGCAACCAAAAATGGCTGCCTACAGACAGGCTTATCATTAAAAGGCCAAAATCAGAGTTTTCAAAATTTTCAAGCTATACTCTGCACATTCTATCTCAAACTGCATCTTCCCCAAAAACTTTTCCTAAATTTCAAAATATCTCTATAACATTTCTTCCTTGTTGGAATTTGTAGAGAATACAGTGTGGTAAATGAACTGTACTGGGAATCATTGCATCTCATAATGACATGAGACAATTTTTTTCCCAGTTAATTTAGAAGAGCAGATTTTTATAAATGCAGTGATAAAGAGAGACAGCCATATATGTCTTAAATGAAAAAGTCATGTATGTTGAAACTTGAAATAATACTATCGGATAGAATTTCCTGGTATTGACTAATTGGTGAATCAGAAGGTTATAAGATAGATGCGAGACTTGATTTTTGGCTTTTCAAGGATATAATTGAATTTGTTGACACAGCACTCAACTTCCAATTATTCACACATGAAAAGAATTAATAAATGGGAAAAACAGAAATGAAAATCAACATTCGCACATTGATAACCTCCCTTTTTTATTTTTCTGCCAATAATCATTCGGCAGCAAAATGTTTTAATGTTCCCATTATCATATCATAACCTTTTTATGATGACAAAAGTTATAAAATTAATCAACAGAAGCAGAATATTTAAGTTTATCAATTGAGAATGATATAAGTCATTTCCAAGAAGTTTGAAGTTCACAATAAGCAAGAACAACGGCTTGTGATATCTCAGCCAATTTTTTTTTGCAAACTTTAATCCTCATTATTGTTCACCATTTCATTTCATTAGAAGGTTCTTAATTCTGAATATTTCCTCTAGTTTGAACTGCTTTATTTAAATTATTTTTCATGACTTTAATATTGTGCACAAATAAGTCAAGCAGCCAGCTAAATGTATGTGCATGTGGAGGAGGGAAGTTAATTCTAAAAACTGAACAGAAACTGGATAAAACTGTTAGATTACAGAAAGGAGAATCAACTCACAAACTGGCTATAAAGACAAGTAAAGGGATTTAAATTATTTGCGACTTGGAGAAATAATGAAAAAAATCATGGAATCTGCATTCAACTATATTAAGCTCTGACAAACATGAGCAAGGATGAAATCTTAATACTTGCTTGATTCAATCAAGCAATCAAAAATACGCAAAAAGGCATTCATATCTGAGTATAAAATTTGCAAAGGAGGGAAATATTGTTCTTTTGACATTTCTTTAGCCATTTCAGAGCTTATTTAATGCATCTTCAGAGTAGTCCACATGCTTTACAAAATGCTAAGGTGTTTAAGAAGCATTTTTGACAGGTGAAAAATTAGTGTAAATTATTCAGCTGCAGAATTTTTATTAAAGAATTTGCTGATTACATGAAAAGTGAAGAATTATTCTTTGAAAAAATATTCAGTAGTTCTCAGACAGGTAAATTTTGGAAATGCCTAC